CAAAGTTGAGTCTAAAAAGATTTCTATATGTGTTTAAAATAACTAAGTGTTTTATTTCTTCAAAGGTGCTTATTTGCATCACAAAAAATTGCAGTATTTTCATTCTGATAATAAGTAAAATGAGATTTGCCATCTTAGAAACATAGGTCTTTTTCATTTTGTGGATGTGTGCATCAGGATATTTATCCTTTGATTTTTAGACACCATTGCCTGGCTACAAGCTCTTATTAAAAATCATCATAATACAAATCCAAGAGAAGTCTCCAGGGTCTAGTAAATGTGATAAAGACTGGTTAGAAATTGATGGGGTTAGGTGAGTAAATATACTATTTTCTGACATATTGATTTGCACTTCGATGTTTTGTGTTACATACTGTAATTAAGAAAAAAACATCTCACCACTTCCACTACAGAAAGATACATTTCAACAAGAATTGGCACGCTTCCACTGATTTTTGGCAGAATAATGTTCTTAATCCTGCCCTAGTACATTATTCATCATGTGAACTTAAGCATCCTGCTTTTTCTAACAGTGTTAGGCATTTCTGTACTTTGTTATTCCTGTGAAGAGCAATGACAGAGAAAATTGAAGAATTTTATGCACCTGCAGTTGATCTGTAAATTCCTGGCAATGGTCTTGGCATGGGTGAAAAGCTTGCTTCATCTGAAATTTTTTCTATACCATTTACTCTTCAGGGAATGAAATTGTTTTCTGTAAAGAAGACAATTTGCAACATGTATGCTAAAAACCAAAACAAAACAAATTAAAAAAAAAGCACAAAATAAACAATCAAACCCCCCCCCCAAAAAAAAACCTCAACAAATCAGTACTCAGTGATTTGTCTTTTGGAAGGAACGTATTAAAACCAACAACAGCTGTTGGATTTGGCTGTGTGACTCCATTACTGTATTTGCAGACTTTTGGGTTTGCAAACCCTAACGGGAAATCTGAAATCAAACACTGTTAGAAGCATTTTGCGTTTATAAGGTAGATTCTGACACTGATCATCTTGCTGGATTTTGTTTCAAAGTCTGTTAGTCCCAGAAAAGTTGTGGAGTGGAAGGCATTTGTAAATAGGCCTTCTAATACTTTTGTTGAGCTGTTTTATCACTAAAAAAAATTTTTATTGTATTGTTTTAGAGCTTTTTGACATTGGTACCCCTCATTAAAAGAGAGGTAGCTGGGTGGTAATGGTCAGTTTGGTTAGAAATGAATTATTCTCACTTTTGCCTTGCTAGATACTGCAAAGCTCTCTCAGAAAGCAATAGAAGCAGAGAATATGGCTATTCTGTGGCAATCAACTTCCATTCTGATGAACTTGTCACCCACAGAGGATTTTATATCGAATACAAAGCCTTCAGTCACACAGATCGTAAGTCAATAAGCATGCACTTTAATTTTTAAGGAGAAACCTTTGAGAAACTGTGCTTGACAGATCAACCACACACAAATCAACCTGCCTTTTTTTCTTAACCTAATTGCAAGAGAGAAATGTTTAAAATGTTATTATGTACTTAATTGAACAAATAGATGTACAAAGTAAGATGAAAAATCCTTTTAGAAGCTAGTACTTATTTTATAACTTTTAAAACCACTTTGGTAAAATGGGAAGTAAAATTAAAATTTCCCAATTTCTGCAGCTCTAATTATTTGATTTTTTTCTAACATCTGAAAATAGCCAAGCTGTAACACAAAAATAGTATGGCAGAGAGGTTTTAAGCATGACTTTTCTGTCAACAGGATTTAACCAAGTATAGTCAGTCTTTTCTTCAAAATCACAATGTGCTGAGGTTCAGCTTCTATATTTAGACAAATTATTGAAGTTTTCACTGGGAGGTAATGAGGACCACTTGCAAGTGTTGCAGAAATATGACTGAGTTTCTTACAGACCTTTCCTGGTTCCCCAGTCTCTGTGCTTCTGGAGCAGTGTTAGTTTGGGGTTTTTTTTTGTTTTGGAGGGGTTTGTTTTGGTTTGTTTGGGGTTTTTTTGTGGTGGGTTTTTTGTTTTTTTTGTTTTTTGTTTTTTACTCCCCAATCTCTGTGCTTCTGGAACAGTGTTAGTTTGGGGGCTTTTGGTTTTGGGGAGGTTTGTTTTGGTTGGTTTGGTTTTGCTTTTTTTTGTTTGTTTTTTTTGGGGGGGTGGGTGTGTTGTTGAGGGCTTCCAGAGGGTGGAAAAGGATTTTCAAAATACATATGTGTACTTCTGATATTTTTCAGGAAATATACATCTGCAGTACATTCTTTGTAAATGCCTTCTCTTTAGTGGTTTCCAGAAACATTATCTCTCTTTTTTTTTTTTTTTTTTTTTTTTTTTTTTTTTTTTGTGTGTGGGGATGGTTTTGTTGTTGTTTTCTGTGTTGGGTTTTTTTGGTTTGTTTCTAAGCCAACTGACTTCTTTTTCCCAATTAACATCTACGTAGCTGAAGTTCTCTGTGATTTCAAGAGATCAGTTCAGTTTGTGAAACTTCTGATCCTCAGCTTGCTTGACTGAGTGTAGTTCTGTTTGTTGCTGATTTAGTAATATTTATGTATTAAGATCTCTGGTATAGATTCTTTCTTCATGCCTTTATCAGAAATTGGTGGTGGATTTTGTGGTCAATCTTTCTATAGAACTCGGATATTTTCAGGTATTTCTTTTTCCACCATTGTGTGTCTCTTTTTAGTGGAAAAAGTTACACACTATACCATGTCCTGTGGTTACTCTGGTTACTGCTTCAAAAATGGTTCAGAGGCAAGTTAAAGCCTAAGAATACCTTTTTCCACAGATAAAATCCCTGATCTTTATTGCTTGTACAAGCCTCTACTTTCTGTAAGCTCTGCTCCGTTTCTAGTGTTGAGCTGTCAAGCAGATGGCTCAAAGTTGTGTAATCAATCCCTTACTCACAATCTTAAGGCTCTGTATTAAAGCTCACCAGGAGGGGTGGATTAGTTGTGATGTGTCAGGATCAAGTGGATACAGTAAAAGCATTTGTGGGGGGCTATCTGAGAGAGCAGAACATACGGAGAGCAGTGGTCTTCCACGACAGCCTTGCCTGTAGTAATAGTGAGAGGGAAGAAAAAAAGGTTCACCTTCTCCCATGTCTTTAGTACCTGCAGCCACCCACATCAGATTAGCTCCTTCCTATTGTTGAGAGCCTACCAAAGCACAGTTATTAAAATAACAGGCTTTGCTCACAGACTTGACCTGGAAAGCCAATGCCAGCAATCAGCTGAATAACGTCAGGGAATGGGGAAGACAACACAGACTCTTGCTTTGAGCTAGTGCTGGCTGCCTAGTGTGTGCTTTCCTCCCACTGACATCACACACGAGGCAGTGAAGAGGACTAAATTATTCCACATTGGAGTAAAATAAATATAGGACCTTCAATCTCATTTTGCTGTTAATTTGCCTGTGGTTCTAGAGGGGAAAACATTTAAGTTGACTTAACCTGGGCAGAAAAAGGAATTTTTTGCTACTTATTCTTCCACAGATCATCTGTCTGTGCATGTAAGTCAATGTCTGGGGCTTGTTGGGGTTTTTTTGGTTGGTTTATTGGTTGTTTTTTGTGTTTTTTTTTGTTTTTTGGGTTTTTTTTTGCTAGCACATCTGAAAAAGTGGAAGAGAACAAATGTTTTTGGTATATTGCAAAGAGACACCTTAGAATCAATACTAATAGTTTAAATGAAAGTGAAAGAAAATCTTAGTGAAATGTTGTTTCACAATGAAATTGCTAGGTTGGAAAAGTGTTTGATAAAGCACTTATTCACATCAGACATGAAGTTGGAGTTTAGTGGCACAGAGATTAATTTCTACAACATTTTAATATCAGGAAATTTGTAGCTATAATACTAAGGAGAATGTGTAGTTCTGACTTTCTCTCTCTCTCTCTCTCTCCCCCCCCCCTTAGATGCTCCTCTGTAAAATATATTACTTTAACAAATTGAAGTGGCGTTCACTATCAATAGTAATTATGTATCCATGGTAAATCACTTTCAACCCTTAAGGTGAGGAAGTGAATGTGAATTTAATTTTCTAAGTCCATTTAGGTGAATATTGATTCATATAATTCAGACCGCTTAATAAAAATCTTTGGTAGGTTATGCCAAGTAAGATAGCATTTCCTTTTTTAACATTTGCTTTAATTTATAAATTATAGTAGCCTTGGTTTTAATATTAATTTTAATATTTCTTCATGGTACAGTCCTGCATTGATGCATTTAGACTGTTACAACATTTCTGGTGCCATTAATTTCTTATTTTTCTAGTTTGACCTTAGATGTGCAGATAGAACATGCATTCCTTCAAGCAACCAGTCTGACGGCTGGAAAGGCTGCTCACATGGTAGTCATGAATTAGATTGTAGTAGGGCAATTATCTCTTGTTTGTGTTCTCCTGTAAACAATTTGTTATAGGAAATTTAGAGACTGGCTGAAATAATCTCTAAAATATTGGTGGCTATCTTTAAGATTACATGAAGGATGTGGGGGAAGATTAAAAGTCTGGAGAAGAGGTTGTATAATACATGTCTTTAAAGAGTGAAAGAACAGAAAAATGAGAAGAGAATTTTACAACAATATTTATAAGTTCAGTTTAAAAAAAATATTAAGTAACAAGTGGTAAACTAAACTATTTGTAGACAGTTAAAAAAGTATTCAAAACCAGCATGGAGTTTTTTATTTTGTTTTATTTCTCTGCTATGAGAGGGTAAATAGAGGAGAAGTTGTACTTTGACACTGTCTTGTGTGACAAACTTATCAGTAAGTAAAGGAAACACAGTGGAGGGGGGCGGGGGGAATAGAAAACTGTTTCCAGAGAATGATTGCCAAGGACTCATTATCAAAATGGAAGGATATTTTTATTGTTATTCTGCCAACATCTGTTATTGAACATCTCATAATTTTTGTTAGTGATCTAAATGATCACTTCTCTAAATGATATTATAGGAAAGTGCAACACAATAGAAAGAGGAATCAACTTTATAAATGATCCTGACAAGCTGGAGAATGCATGTGGAGAAAATTATATTCCATTCAATAAAAACAAGATCTGAACTTAGGTAATCAAATCCACACATGGATTGCCTAAGTTGCTTTTCTGCTGAAAAATGCCTGGGGGATGATAGTGGCTCAAAAGCTGACTTAAGACTCGAAGTCATACAATTTTCTGTGTGTGTTTTATGCATGTTTGGTGTTTTGTTGTTTGGTGCTTTTTTTTTTTTTTTTCTTTTTGGAAGTGTCACACTAGGAGTTTGAAAAGATCTTCCCAGTCACCAGTGGGAAGACTTCAGCTGGTGCACTGTACCCAAACTGGGCACTTCACACATCAAACAAGATAGAGAACAATGAAAAGATGCCAGAAAGAGTGGCAAGAAGGTAATCCAAGGCCAGAGAGTGCAGTACAAGTTAGATAATGGAACAAGTCTCTTTTTGGAAGTGTCACACTAGGAGTTTGAAAAGATCTTCCCAGTCACCAGTGGGAAGACTTCAGCTGGTGCACTGTACCCAAACTGGGCACTTCACACATCAAACAAGATAGAGAACAATGAAAAGATGCCAGAAAGAGTGGCAAGAAGGTAATCCAAGGCCAGAGAGTGCAGTACAAGTTAGATAATGGAACAAGTCTCTCTGTCACTGAAGGCTATCAAAAAACAAGGTAGACTAATGCCTGGCAGAGATGGCACATTAATAACAAGGTGACCTCTGGTAGGGAGTGTAGCACATGGCTGCTAGCCAGCTATTTGGATTATAACATATTTACAGACCTTTATTCTTCAGGTTGTAATCCAGAATGGTTCAATTGTGGTGATGGGAAGTGTAAGCATCAGTATAAATCTTGTAAAGATGCTGACAGCTGTGGGGAGGACAGTGATGAAAACAATTGCTGTAAGTATATATTTTTAGCTATTTCCAAAAGATAGTGAAAGGCAGAAGCAGGAATATACTTATTTGAATGGATAAATGTAGTATTTCTATAATTTTTTTTTTCATAGCACAAAGTACAAGTTTCATAATAGTGACAACAAAATGTGCAGAGTATGACTAGTTCTTGGGGCAGTCTAAAAATTAATGAAGCAAAATCTGAGATAATGGAGATATTAGATGACCTAGCCACAGCTTGCTGGTGATCCTGCTAGAAAAGCATTTTTCCCCCAACTGCTGCCAGATCAGTACCAAATAATGTAAGGGAAAGACACATAACAGCTTTGGGACTTTTGCCCTTTGCCACACACATGATCTCTTTACTGTAGATACACCATGGTTACTGACATTGCTGGTACTACTGTCTCCTTAGTGACTCGCTGCATTTTGCCTTTATAATATTTGCTTTGCTTTGCATCTTGGGTCCTTGAAGTAGCTATGACTATGTTCCTGTTTGCTTAAAAAATAAATAAATTAATAAATCCTACCACTGTTTAGAGGTCACTGCAAACAACTGATAAGAATGATAGTAATGGAAACCTATTGCTGAGATCCGTCAGGATTCTCACATAATAAACTGTGATAGTACTTAGCCAATAATTTCTTGGAGGGAGATATAAAGCCCTTCCACAGTTTTCTCAACTTTGACTTAAAACCAAAAATTTGACTTCCAGATGATACCTGCTGTGAAGATTTATAACTTGTAATGCCAGTAGCACTAGTGAAGGTAAAGCAACAGATCTGACAAGCCTAACTAGCTTAGTTTAGAGTTAAGTAAAATGGGAGTGAGGACAGTTGGAGGCTCTTCTGTCTTTCCTCATGGACAGTGGAGACTGAAATTAGTGTGATCATTAATCAGAGTGGAACATTCTCCCTGTCCCCCTTCCATTGAGGGACCAGTTTACACCAGTCCAGGCTATGACTTCAAGCAGACTGGAAAGTGCATTTTTGAACAACTTTCACCACTAAGTAGGTTGAATGTGCAAGGTTGTGGGTTTTTTTTAATCATTTGAAACTATAACTCTAAACATGTAAGAGTATTTTCTCTCTCTTATTTCAGCCTATAAAAGTTGCCCCCCCTTATGCGTACAAATGCCTCAATGGAAAATGTTTGCTGAAACCAAATCCCGAGTGTGATGGGAAAAGAGATTGTGCAGGTGGATCTGATGAAATGAACTGTGGTGTGGTAGCATTTATTGAAAAATTAGTTAATGACTTGGGAAACTGAGACAGGAATTTGTGTTATGGTCAGCCATTGTTGAATTAAGTGTTGATTAAATCAGATGTGAGTTTTAAAAAATGAATCTCCTGGTAACATCTGTATGAAAATATCTGTCTTGAATTTTCTACTGTTTCATTTTAAATTAACTGGTCGTCATTCTGTCTATGATGACTTTTTCCAAGCAATGCACACTTCCAACTTAAGCTGGTAGGTCTTAGTGCTTGTTTGAACTGAATGAAATGCAGTCTAGAAGCTGTGTATGTAAGGAGGGAAAAGATGTGAGATTTTATTAAAGTGAACTTTTGGAAACAATCTGGCTTAGAATTGTGTGTAAATGTCTTTTTGAGTTACTAACATCTTTAGAAAGATTTAAGGGATGATAGACAGTGATTGGTTTATTCCTGACCTGCCCATTGAGTGAAAATATGAAAGTACCCTTACCCTTTTACCAATTGCACAGTAAGAGAAAAAGCTGTTTTCCAACAGCTTTGAGATCTATGGATAAAAATTTATATATCAAGCACAGGAAAGTGAAATGACCTTGTGGTTTTTTGTTACTATTTTATTCAATTATTTCTATCAGCCTGTGGAAGACACCAGCTTAAGAAAACCAGAATTGTTGGAGGTGAAGATGCAAGTTCTGGAAAGTGGCCTTGGCAAGCAAGTTTACAGATGGGAGCACAGGGTCATGTATGTGATGCATCTGTTATTTCCAATAGGTGACTCATATCTGCTGCCCATTGCTTCCTGGATTCTGATTCTGTGAGGTATGAAGAAGTTATACTCTTATAAAGTATGTGCAGTTTAATAACCTTACAGAATTGCTTTGAAAAGTCTGTGGTAGCCATTCCTTTTCTAGATAAGTTAATTCAGGTTATAACTCTGTGACGTGTTATCACTACATGAACCCTCAATATTGTATTCTGCTGGCTTCAGAAGTCCTAAGTATCTGAAATAATTATTTTGTCTCCATTGCCAGTGAATCCTGCATAATAAAATACACTGTTTTGTTAAATTTAAGGTAAACACTAAGGATTTCCTGAGTAGAAGCTATGGCTTTTTCTCCTAGGGAAAGGACTATTGATTGATAAGTGGAATGTAAAACTCATCAATGTTCAGTTTAGGTAGTGTAAATTGAAAAGACATACCTCCTATATGTGGTAAGGAGGGAACAGTTTAGTAATACACTTTTCTGACTTCTAAAGCATGGTGCATTCAAAAAAATTGGTCTTATAGCCCCAAGAAATTATTATTTTCAAAATGGTAATTAAAACCACTACTTAATGTTTTAGCTGGCAGAGACTATAGTGCACCCATCTTCCTAAATGGTATTCTACTCCATTTACTTTGGTTTCAATGATTCTCATCAAATAACTAAAAGTAGATAAAATGGAGTGAACTGACACTGCATTATTTTCTAATGGGAAATGTTCTCTAAAGACAATGTTCTAAAAACATTCTCTTTACAGATACTCGGTTCCTTCGGGATGGAGAGCATATATGGGCTTATGTGCTATTAATGAAAAGAGCAATCGTGTAGCTATGAGATCCATCAAAAGGATTATTGTCCACCCACAGTATGACAAATCCATCTCAGACTATGACATTGCCCTGTTGGAAATGGAGATGCCTGTATTCTTCAGTGAGCTGGTACAGCCCATTTGTTTACCCAGCACCTCTACAGTATTTGTTTATGGAACTGTCTGCTATGTAACTGGCTGGGGAGCCATAAAAGAAAATAGTATGTTCGTTTCCTGGATATACTTCTTCCAAGTTTAACTTAATTTTAAACTCTAACAATGAAATATTTATAGTCATTAAAAAAAAATTACCAGTGGCTTACTTAGGAGAGCTATAAAAAGCTAGAAAATGCAAGTTTAACTTAATTTTAAATTCTAACAATTAAATATTTGTAGTCATTAAAAAAAAATTACCAGTGGTTTACTTAGGAGAGCTATAAAAAGCTAGAAAATATCCCCTTAGCTACAGTCTGTGAATTCTGAATGTTTGTTTAGATGGCAGGTGGTAAGTGCTGATAGATGCATTCAGGTGTCACAGACCATTGAAAAGCAAATGTTCATACATTCACAAAAATGTGTCCCTTGTCATGCTCATGACTCATTTTATCTGGTGAATAGGTCATAAGCAATCTTACAGGTAAAGAAAACAACAAGTTTCAACTGTTGCAGAGAAAGTAAGTGTCTCTAAGACTGTGTTTGACAATATGGGCCCATGAACAGCAATAATGGCAAAAATATTGTGATTTTAATTTTTTTTTTCTTGTCTGTCTTAACCAAAAGCAATTTAATGTGTGCCCCATGAAGAGTTTTGCCTGCAAAGATTGGAGTAGCTTTCTGCGGTGGTGAGGCAGAAAAACAACAAAGAGTTGGGGAGGGGTGGTGGGGGACCCCATGGGATCTTGTCCCTGTCTTAACATTAAACAGGAGCCAGCTTTGAAAGCTGGGCTTAGACAGCTCCTCAGCATTGCAGTGGTTCTCACAATCGTACTGGGACATAATCCCTCGTGTTTGATTAGAAACCACGTGCTATGCTAATTCTGGCTTTCTTAACATGCCTTTTTTAAAAAAGATTTAAATCTAGATAATAATGTAGTAGCCTACTGAAGTGCAAATGGCTTTACTGTTGGTGCCTTCTTACAATGTCTTGCTTTTTTAAAAAGTGATGTAGGTAATATTTAAAAATCAGTATAATGGTATATGAAAAAAATGCATATTTTTCTATCTTACTTCTTTCATTTCCAACCCACTCTCAGAGACAAATGAGCAAACAAACCAAAACCCAGTGCTTCCTCTGATAGTCCAGGTATTAAAAACATTATGTTCACTGAGCTAAAATATGACTGAGGATATTTAGTTCATGATGACACCTTATGCCAATACTATAGTACAGAATTAAGCTCTTAGCATCACACATGATTTGCAGGCTTGTTTTTTTTTTAATTATTTCCCTCCCACCATCAGCTTCATTCCTCAGGTCATTCCCTAGAACTGAGATGATGGAAAAGAATGTAGAAATTTCATTTACTAGGACTTGGACAATGTTAGGAGCACAAATAACAAGAAAAAGCTTTGGGCATAATTTGAAATGGCATTCAAAATTAGTCACATTATGTTGAATCTTGTATTATACTCATAATTTGCATGGCTTTTTTTTTTTTTTTTTTTTTTACTACTTTCTGGCAGAAGATGCTCATAAGGGTAAAGACTAAGGCAATGGAAAGGTGGTGCACAGGGACCTCTATGTCTAAAGGGTAGCGTAGACAAGAGCTTTCAAAAGCTGAGGGCAGGCAGCAATTGAATGGAGGGGAATTACTCTCCTGCCATCAGCAGGGTAGATCTTGAATTTGGGGCAATTCTCTTTTGTTTTGACAAGTGGAATCTCTGATAGAAATCTGTACCACTATAACCTCTGCAACACCATTTGTATTTTGTTCTAGGTCATCTTGCCAAAACATTGCAGGAAGCTCAAGTGAGAATAATTAACCAAAGCATTTGCAACAAACTGTACAACGATCTTATCACGTCACGTATGCTGTGTGCTGGGAATCTTAATGGTGGTGTTGATGCGTGCCAGGTAATCTGGAACGTGTAGAGAAACTACGAAGGAATATTTGCTTTCATTGGAAAACTGTTCAGAGCTGTGAGTGGTTTGCGGTTTGGTTTTGTTCTTAGTAATAGAGTGACATGTCTTGAGTGTATGGTTATTTTAACACAGCAGTTAAAGGGTGTCCAAAATAAGGAAGGAAATTTGGCATAGATAATCTCTTGAGAAACGTTGCTTTGCAAAAATAAGGGGTAAAATACATTGAAAATAATTATTTTTTTCTTCTTCAACAGGTACATTTCTTACAAAAGAACAGAGATGTAAGGGTAAAGGAAATAAAGTTAGGGCCATCTGCAATTTTGCTGTTTATATTGACTTTTTTTTCTTTTTTTGATGTTTGGGTGTAGGATTAATGAAATACTATAATGGTATGATGAGTAATGTATTGTTACAGTTACAAAGAAATAGAGTTGCAATGCTGCCTTTTAGTTTCATATATTCACTCGTGTATGATTACAACTTTTGATTACATCATTGAATCATAAATTATATGACCTAGTTTATTTGCATACACAGTCAGAAACTGCTCTTTGGACGTACTTCAACTGTCTTGACTCTAACTTCTTTCTTCTTCTCTGTTGTTAGACTATCTGTGTATTTTATCAGTATTTAAACTTATTATGATGAATATCCACTTTCAAAGTTACAAACATCTTCATTATAGCAGTTGCTCCATAAAGGGAGAGAAATGTTACTAATTTTAGACTCTGTTAATTTGATAGAGTTTTTCTGTAATATATAAATTTTACTATTTTAATATGATAGGATAATTTTTGCAAGGTCATATCTCTTAATGGATCAAACTTCTTTATACACAATAGACTATTTGCAGGATCTTCCTGCAATCTCTAATTCAATGAATGATTATTTTTGTTAACTTTATCTGCAGTTTGTGTGTAACCTTAGACCTTGAAATTGTTTTGCAAAACATGTTGTTTCAGAGGCTTGATGTTCCTCCAAAAAATGTTTCACTTAAGAAATGCCCTTGAATTTTTAGGTGGACATTTTAACCAATTCGGCTATATACCTTATTGGTCAATCCAGTTTCTAACATCATATGCTGTGTTTGAGTCTTAGCATGCTGGCCTTCTGGGCCTTTAAGTTCTTAGTCTGAGTAGCATCTTCACTATTTCTTTCTTTTCAGTCACTCAAAGATTTCCTTTGCAGTGCTAGAGATGAATTATGTTGGCAGTTCAGGAAATCCCCATAGCACCTTGAAAGCCTTTTACTACAGTTCCAGACTTGTGGACATATTGATTTGTTTCTTTTCTTCATGAACACATAAGCTGTGCTCTTACTGCACAGGTTATGTGAAGCTTCCAAATGCCTTTCATCTTTAGAGATGTAATACTTAACAGTGAGAAATAAAACATTAACACTTTCAGACTCTGTTTTCTTATCACTCTAGGATGTTCTTTGGTCTCAGTTACTCTTTTTGGAATCCTTCCTCTCCACCAGCATAGAGCCCCTTTGATATTTCAGAACTGGTTGTGTAGTTGGCTGGAGTATATAGCCTACTTTCTCAAGTTACTTTGAAATCAACCTCTTGTCATACTGGCAATTTTGATAATCCATCAGCCTGAAAGAGAGGAATAATTATTCTGACTTCTTATCTCTAGATAATTTTGGTTGGTTGGTTGGGTGAAGGCTTTCCATTGCTACTCTTTTCTCAATACATGGCTTTCTTCTGACTTCTTCCATGTTTTAGCTCCAACTGGGGGCAGCAAAGAAACCCCAGTGTCAACTTGGAGGCTGTTGACTGCCTTGTACAAATAAGGAACAGCTGCAGAGATGAGCTGCATTCATAACTGGTCTGTTCACGGAAGGCATACAAGGTTAAAACAACGAAGGACACAAAGCATTTGTGACCCCAAATGCATTTTGATCCTATGAGTTGAACTAAATGGGCATTTTTATTTTTCCACGTTGCTGTAGAGATATGCATATTTTCTTTGAAAAGACAGTTTTTATTTGCATATTATTTAGTCTTGGTTCGTCCTCACCCTCTAGAAATGTAGACATAGTCTTAATTATTAAACCGTTAATAATACTTAATTGTGTCTGCTTGGATTTTTGGTTGTGTTGGTTTGGGTTTTTCTGGTTGGTTGGGTTTTTTTGTTGGAGGAGTAGGTGTGTGGTATCTTTCTGTTCCTGTTTAAGAGACAGTATAAGAGTTCTGCCTTCAACCTGTGAACAATTTAGAGTCAAATGATAGCAGAATTCTCACTTCCCACCCTTGTCTTCTC